AGTCTCCTGCCTCCACCTCCCAAGTAGCTGGGACTACAGGCACCTGCCACAATGCCTGGCTATTTTTTGGTTGCAGCTGTCATTGTTGTGTGGCAGGCTGGGACTGGATTCAAACCCGCCAGTTCAAGTGTATGTGGCTGGCGCCTTAGCCGCTTAAGCCACAGGCACAGAGCCAAGAGACAGTTTCACTTTGTCACCATCAGTAGAGCACCATGGAGTCATAGTTCACAGCAACCTCAAAGTCTTGGGCTCAAGTGATCCTCTGGCCTCAGTCTCCCAAGTAGCTGAAGCACCCACTATAATTTTCAGCTATATTTTTAGAGACGGAGTGTCACTCTGGCTCAGACTGGTCTCAAACTCCTGAGCTCAAGCAATCCACCCACCTCAGCTTCCCAAAGAGCTAGGATTATAGGTGTGAGCTACCGTGCCTGGCCTTCAGAATAGTATTTTTCAAACTCTGACTCAGAAGTAATATTTATCTGTACTTCACAGTAAAATCCTACTATTTCAAGGCAAGAGGTTGATTTAAGCAACCAAAAATTTCAGAAAATAAAATAAAACAAAGTTTAGTGGCATGAATAATTTGTATTTTGACTTTTGTTGTGCTGGTGGTTCATATGGTTTCGGGGTATAGAGAAAATCAAATCTATACATCTTCTTGAAGATCTACACTGTGACTAAGTAAATAAAAGCCATACTGTATTAAAAAAAAAAAACTAAAAACAAACAAAAATTACATTAGCCTCTACCGTCCTATACAAGAAGTCCAGCTTTCAACAAAAAATGGCAAGGCACACAAAAAAGCAAGAAGAAACAAGACACTGTCAAAAGGGAATACAACAGAGGTAAAAGAAGTCAGACCTTGTTTTTTTAGCATCTGATAGGCATCTCGAATCTTGATGTCTTCTGGAAACCAGACTGTCCAACTAAAGAGTATTTCAATGACTCTTCCTTTAACTTTTTCTGTGGCCCAGGACCCCAGGTACTGAAAGTAAAAAGGAAAAAATTCTAGAGCTAGAAGGGATTTGGGAGACCACTTAGCCAATACTTCCAGTAAAGAGAGGAGTGTTGAGGCCCAGAGAACGAGCTGCTCAAGCTGGTTTAGAGGGAGACACAACTAGAAGCCAAATTTTCTGGTACCCTGTCCCAGCACCTTTCCTGGGTTTCGAGCAATTGATCTAAACCACTAAAATTAAATCTAAATTGATGTAACTGCTAAAATTAAAGACCACCACATACAGATCAAGGCCATAGCTTTGTCCATACCACTGGGGACATTCTTTTTTTCATTGGGGCAAGTATGACAAAAAAAAGATTTGGTCTTTGTCTCAGTCCCTGACGCAGAACTTCAAAAGCCTTTGGAATATGAGTCCTAAGAGGGGGTCTTATTCACAGCAAGCTCTCTTCGACCACATCTTAGTTTTGACTAATAATTTATGGTAGCTGCTTAGTTTCAAGAATGGGGTTGGTCACTCAAGAGAGCTCAACCATGTAATTAGAATTGGAATTGGACAATATTTTGATCAATCGTACCTAGGTAATGAACCCCTAGATCAAAACTCTAACGTAGGGAAGACTTCCAACTTAGCTCTTCCCCTTTGCCAGAAGCTCTGGTGCTTTTTTACTCCTGTATTCCTGTCTGATAAAATCCTATATTACCACCAGAGGAGGAAAACAAACTGTGACACAAGGTGGTTCAGAGAGCTTCCTGGTTGGTGAACACACCAATGTGATGTAAAGGTGGCAAGCTCAGATTCCATGTGTCTCTCTTCCCTACTACTAAAACTTTGCCTTACATATTGCTTCCATTTGTATCTTAATGGAGCTAATAGAAATATAGTGCTTTCCTGTGTTCTATGAAAGTCATTCCAGTGAATTATGGAACCTAGAGAGAAGGGTCAAAGGAACCTCTGGATTTGCAGTTAGCAGTGCAAAAGCTTAAGGACACATAAGACTTAGGGCTGCTGTCTAAAGTAGACTATATAAATAGTACTGAGCCCTCAACGTGTAGGGGCTGGGTTACATTAATTCTGGGTAGAGCCAGAATTGAATCTATCCTAGGACGCACAGTAGGCATCAGAGAACTCCTGCTACTATGCAGTAAAACAGGGCTCCATCAACGCCAGTTACCTCACAGTGATGCAGCTCAAACAGGAGGAAAGAAAGGTAGAGGGCAAAGCAAGAAGATAGGAAACTTTATCCAGGAAACTGCTTCTCAGCTAGAGTTTCTCACCTCCACTAGGCTGCACACCCCCAGGCCACTTTAAAGGGAAATGTGAAAATACTAACAATGGAAGAGCAGGGGACAGCTGACAGCTCAGAGAGGAGAGTGCTTTCACATGCAGGACCTTGTCTCACAGCCAGAGACAAGCCAGCAGGTTCTGTTCATGTGCAGGCCTGCCTCTGCCAGAGAAAGGTGACAGGAGTTTGAAAGGTGGGTATAGGCATGGCACAGAGGCTGGACCAAGCCCTGATATTCACCTTTGGAGACAACACTTTGATCAGCTCATTCAGGAAGCGGAACTTAGCCACCTCACCATGGAACTTCTCTCCACAGTGGTTCATACACATCTCCAGCACCTGCACAGATACAGGACCCCCATGAGAAGCTAGAAAGCCATGGCTGCAGGGCCTTCCTTGAACCTGATGATCATTTGCTGAAGACTATACTGGAACCACAGCTAACACTTCCTCAAGCCTATGATGGCAAACGTTTTGGTGAAAGAGAACATTTTCATTAAAAAAAAAAAAGTCAACAGTTCCATCTTGCTATAACTGCCAAGTTTATGCTCAGTCGAGTTTGTCACACCCTGAGGTCATCCTACCTTTTAAGGAGACCTCTTAGAGGCCGGACAAGGTGGCTCATGCCTGTAATCCCAGCACTCTGGAGTCTGAGACCAGCCTGAGAATGAGTAAGACCCTGTCTCAAAAACTTAGCTGGGGGTTGTGGTAGGCGCCTATAGTCCCAGCTACTTAGCAGGCTGAGGCAAGAAAATAACTTGAGCCCAGGAGTATGAGGTTGCTGTGAGCTATGACGCCACAGCACTCTACTGAGGGTAACAAAGTGAGACTATCTCAATTTAAAAAAATAATAATAATATAAAAATATGGACTTCTAGTTTCTCTTAAAGTTCTAGCAATCCAGGTCCCAAACTAATGCCTGGCAACCAACCACTGGTGGTTCTATGCTGTGGCTGCCCTCTTTAGAAGGGACACACGCTCACCAGCTTTTTGGTCCTAACCCAGCTGCTTCACTCTCTATGCTACCTGTTTGGCCCTACAGATACTCGAACTTGCCAGTCTATCTCAGAAGGGCAAATAGAAATAAAAACTTCTTTTCCTTCTCCCACAGCAGGCTCAGAACAGATCTAAGACAGAGATTATGGCCCACCACTCCCTCTTCCCACCTACTGTTCAAGGCCTATAAAAGTGAGACTCTGAGGTGCTCCCCACCACGAAAAAAGGACTATGGAGAAGATAAAGTCCCTCTCGGCTCTCTCTCTCTCTCTAGCACCAGGACACAAAAGCTTAGGCTAAGGGGTAAGCCAAACTCACCGTTAAGGCATAAAGAGCTTCTTTCTCTTGCGGAGAGTGGATCTTGTGGGCCAGCAGCCAGGGCGCGTGTGTGGGGCTAAGGAAAAACAAAAAGACCTGGACTCCGGCAGGCAGGAAAAAAGTATCTAGTGTGGCTGAGTATGCTCAGTAAAGTCACCTCTCTTTCTAGAAGGTAGTATTCCGAAGCAGAAGTAGAATATGACTGACAGAGGCCAACTCCTATCTATTCTGCTGTACCGGTAGCACCCAGCCAACTATTAACTACTATATAGCAAAGGATGAATCACTTGCTCATTCAGTAGATAAATGCCAGCAAGAGGTCATGCTCCTGTCCAGGGCATATCAGCCCTGGTCCCCAAGCCCCCAAACTCTAAGTTGAGCAGTCCAGGCCTAGACTTATGTGTAGCAAGATCATGAACAGCACAGGCCTGTCTGTATATGATAAATGTTAAATAAACACTAGAGCAGAAAGTGTGATCTAACTTTGGGCTCAATTCAGAACAGTTGACTATTTGGCACCATGTAGATTAAACATCTGGATGAATGACTTGATTTTTTAGGTCCTATCCAGATGCTTTGGAAACAGAATTCAGTAAAACCTTATCCTTTTCCTCATGCCTGTAATCCTAACACAGAGAAGCCAAGGTGGGTAGACTGGTTGAGCTCTGGAGTTTGAGACCAGCCTGAGTAAGAGTGAGACCCCTGTCTACTAAAAAAGAAAAATAGAAAAACTAGCTGATAGACTAGGTGCGGTGGCTCACACCTATAACCCTAGCACTCTGGGAGGCCAAGGTGGGTGTGGACTGCCTAAGCTCAGGAGTTCAAGACCAGCCTGAGCAAAATCGAGACCCTATCTCTAAAAATAACCAGGCGTAGTGGCACATGCCTACAGTCTCAGCTACTCAGGAGGCTGAAGTGATAGGATTTCTCAAGCCTGTGAATTTGAGGTTGCTGTGAGCAATGATGTCATGGCACTCTACCCAGAGCAACAGAGTGAGGCTCTATCTCAAAAACAAACAAACAGGCTCGGCGCCTATAGCTCAACCGGCTAAGGCGCCAGCCACGTACACCTAAGGTGGCGGGTT